ACATAATGCAGTCAGTAGTCAGGCTCAGGACTCTGCCTTAAACAGTCTTGGGTTCTGATCCCAGTTCTATCACTTACTAGATTTTCCCCTACACTTGTTTTCTCATATAAAAAATGAATGTCAATGGGATGGGGTTGTGGCACAGAGGTAGAATACTCACCTAGCATGTGTGAGACACAGGGTTTGATCCTCAGCACCACATAAAAATATTATGTTTAATTAAAAAAAATTTTAGAAAAAATGAATGTCAATACATATCTAATAATAGTGCTGTGATTTCGAGTGCCAATGCATGTAAAAAGGTGATTAGTGGCTCAGTGGTAATGCACTTGCCTGGCATATGTGAGGCACTGGGTTTGATTCTCAGCACCATGTATAAATAAATAAAGGTCTATCAACAGGGCTGGGGATGTGGCTCAAGCGGTAGCACGCTCGCCCGGCATGCATGCGGCCCGGGTTTGATCCTCAGCACCATATACAAACAAAGATGTTGTGTCTGCCGAAAACTAAAAAATAAATATTAAAAACTCTCTCTCTCTCAAAAAAAAAAAAAAAGGTCTATCAACAACTAAAAAAAAATAATAATAATAAAAAAAGATGATTAGCAAAAGTGCCTGGCATATACTAAACCTTTGATAGATAACAACAATTTTTAAAAAAGTAATATTTGTTAATATCATTTTAAAAGAGATCTTGAGTCAGGCATGATGGGGCTCACCTGTAATCCCAGGACTTGAGAGACTGGGGCAGGAGGATCACAGGCCTCCTAGGCCAGCCTCAGCAACTTAGTAAGGCCCTAAGCAACTCAATGAGCCTAAGTCTCAAAGTTTAAAAAAAGAAAGAAAAAAAAAAAAGAAAGAAACAAAGAGAAAAGAAACAAATGGCAGATGGTAAAATTGGAGCACCAGTCCCTTTGGCCCCACAAGAGACAAGCAGCTGCACTGACACTGCCCAGCCTGAGGATCCCTCTCCTCTGCTGCGTGCTTTCATATACCATGGATTCAGTGTGGGACAGTGGCTTTCTGTGGAATCAGCAGGGAAGCTGGGTAAATGCTGCACACGAACACTTACCACTTAGAAGACTTGTCTCAGGGGCCACATGAAATCTCTGCTCTGAATGACACAGGATGGACGGGCAGAAGAGACCATCCATCAGTGTCAAGAAAGATCTGAAGCACCTGGCTAGTCAGGTGAAATAAAATAAATTATTTACTGATCTCAGAATCCAGCTGCTCTCTTGAATGCTCATAAAGGGTTATTTGCTGGCCTGTGTTTTGCAGCAGAATTGAAGGAAAGAATTTCTGGGTTGCTGTGTGCAGGTTTTTGCGAGAGTAAAGGGGGGCTGTTACATGCTTTGTAAGGAGGGAGAAAGTATGAAATTATACACCTGACCTAATCTCTGTTGGAAAAGAAGGCTATTCACTCTTAGCATGATACAATACTCATGGGCATGATTTATCTGGTTGTCACAAAACTGCTTAGGGCTTATTAATGAACTTTCTGCTTTTAAGGTTAAAGACTGAACTTAGATCTACCCTCACAGGATCTAATGCCATCTGTTTTAGAAACTCCCCAGAACTGTGACACTCCACCAGGGGGCGCTATGTGTGGCACTGGAAGCATCACCACGTGACCAGGACCTCCCTCCAGAGAACCACTATTTTGGGGAGAGATACCTGCATCACTGGTACCATCCATTTCTAACTTTCTAGACTCCTTTGTAGCCACAGATGAAACTCTACCAGGAGAGCCACCACCTAACCTGAGTGACCTGGTTCAATACCTACAAGATGAGGGACTAGGAGAGATGGCAATGGGCAAAATAAACAATAATGACAGTGATAACACCACCTCTAAGGTACCATTTAGAATGCAGTTCTACGGACCATTTTCATATGGACTAAAACACCACAATCCTCATTTTAAAAAAATTTTGTTTTAATTGTAGGTGGACACAATAACCTTTATTTTATTTTTATGTGGTGCCGAGGATCGAACCCAGTGCCTCATGCGTGCTAGGTGAGTGCTCTACCTCTGCGCCACAGCCCCAGCCCCTCATTTTATAAATGGCAAAAACTTAAGATTGAAAAGCAAAGGGTCTTGCCCAGGCTGGCTGCAGGCAAGTGGCAAAGTGGGGACTCAAAGCCAACCCTGAATGAGTGCAGAGCTGGCTCCTCCCACAAATTCTTCTGTTCACTTTTTCCTTTGAATGAATATATAAAATCAGAATCTGGGCAATAAGATTTGTCTTTCTGCCTTTAAAAGAAAGTGGGGGAGAGAAGCGCAGGACCTCTTATGGTTCCCAGGCACAGCTTGTCACACTACGAACCACAATTTGCGGATCATGCCCACTAGGGAACATCCCTGGCCTTGGGCCACTGTCTTGACCAAAGCTGGGCTACTTACTGGACTTCTTAAAACCAGGACCACTCAGAAAAAAGCAGATCCTTTGCTACTGAGCAAATACTGCTGCCAAACACAAACTGATGTTGTAGAATAATCTTATTTTAGAAAACTTTTAATTAAAAATGCACACACAGAAAAGGCACAAATCCTGAACATATAACTTGAATTTGCCAAAAAGTTTACAAATCAGCCTATTTGAGAACTGATGAAGAACAAGAAGTTTGCCAGTCTCCCAGAAGCCCCACCTAGAACGGGGCTACCTCTCCCTCCAGCTTCTGATATCCTCACTCCTTACACAAGGGTATTTTGATGACTTTTTTGAACATTATATAAGTAGAATTATGTGGCATGTTCTTTCTTTTTCCTCTCCTTCATTTGTTTTTCAGTGCTGGGGATTGAACACAGGGTTTCATGCATGGTAGGCAAGTGCTCTATCATCGTGCGACATCCCTAAGCTAGAGATCTGGCTTCTTCTTGAACAGTCTTCTTATTTTTAGTTCTAAGAAGGTCACCAGGAAAAACAGCCCCAGGGTTTTTTCTATTATTCTCTAAGCAACTTTTATATATTAAATAACATTTTTACTACTTTAGCTGTATACTTTTTTGTTTTTGTTATACTAGGAATTGAACCCAGGGTCGCTTAACCACTGAGCCACATCCCTAGCCCTTTACAAATTTTATTTAGAGACAGGGTCTCACTGAGTTCCTTACAACTAAAGTTGCTGAGGCTGGCTTTGAACTTCTGATCCTCTTGCCTCAGCCTCCCTAGTGGCTGGGATTACAGATGTGTGCTACTGCGCCTGGCCCTTTTGTTTTGTTTTTGATGAGACAATACAAGTATAGATAGCGGGGAGAAGGTAGGTTTTGTACTTTGGGTCAAAGTTATTGATTTGTTTATTTAGTTTGTTGGGATCATCATCATTCTAGCAGCTCACGTTTGAGTTTGTGTGTTACTCTTCTGGTGCTGGGGACTGAATCCAGGGCCTCACAAATGCTGAGTCACACCACAGAACCCTAGCAGCTACTGTTTACCGAACACTTACCATATACCAGGCACCTTTCTAAGTATTCTGCATGTGCTGTGACACTTCATCCTCATAATTACCCTAAGAGATAGGGACTATTATTATCTTTATTTCACAGATGAGGAAATTGGGGCTCTGAATCATTTGCCAATGGCAACACAGCTAACAAATGCCCAGGGTCTGAAACCAGGCTTTACCTGCCGAGCCCATCCTCTACACACTGAGCCACACTGCCTCTCAACTAACAGCCCTCACACGCTGCTCACTCACTGCTTTCCAGGCCCTCTGCAATCCTCAGAAGTTGATGCTGCTGATAGTCTCATCTAAATAGGGCAGAACTGAAGCTCAGGAAGATGAAGACCCTGGCTTATGGTTACATGGCTAGTTATGGATACAGCATTATGCCCAGCGAGGTTCATGGGTCCATCTCTTAATTATTAAGCTGTGTTGTCAGCAGGCTGCAAGTTCCTGTCAATCAAGTTGGGAAGGAATATGTGAGATTTTTGAGGCTTATTACATGTTATCCAGATTTAGAGTAATGCCAACACAGAAAAGAATTAATTGAGAAACAAAGCATTTGTGAGAAACTTAAAATCAGTGAGCCCCAGAATTAGAATTTAAGCTTTTTTCCTCTATGCAATAGGCACACAAGAGCCAGGAAGGGGTGATGTGGCAGAGTCAGGAGGGTTTGGCTCCCTGATTGAGAGAACCTGGCATCCCTACCTGTTCCTCCTCTCCCCAAACATATGTGGAGTCCCTTTGATAGGGAGCAGGTACACCCCAGGGTTCCACTCTGACACCACCATCAGCCACCTGTGAGATGGATGAGATTGCATCTCTTTGTACTTTAGTTACATTCTCTGTCAGATGGGGACAGTAAAAATACCTATGTTTTAGGTAGTTAAGTAGCACAAACAAAGCACTCAGCACAGTGACTAATATCCAGTGGCTACCTACAAAGGGTAGCCATGACGATGAAGATGGCAACAATGACAATATTGTATTAATATTACTATTATGATATTCCTGAATGAAAAAAACAACGAGTTCACAGAGGAACAAAAGGCAGCAGTGATGTCACACAACAGACCTGAGGACAGAATCACAGAATGAAAAGATCACAGAACTTCACCAAAGTCAATGAGCTTGAACAGAATCTCAAGTTGGCTCTACTTCTAATCTACTTTGTAAAGAAGACACAAGATAGAGCAGAGGTGGGAAAAGATGTACTTTAAATTTCATCATCATTCAGCATTTTCTCAGAAAACAACCTACCTTTTTTAATTTTTATTTTGGTACTAGGGATTGAACCCAGAGGTGCTTTACCACTGAGCTGCATCCCCAGCCCTTTTTAATTTTTATTTTAAGGCAGAGTCTTGGCTTCAAACTTTCGATCCTCTTACCTCAGCTTCCCCAGTTGCTGGGATCACAAATGTGCGCCACTGTCCTCAGCTAACAAATTAGCTTTAATCATTCAGGTCACATAAAAGTTGTATGTCACTTCTTTCCCTCTTTCTATATGGACTACTGATAGAAAGAGTTCAGTTCATCACCTGTCCGTGTACTTACCTAACTGTACATCGGTCGTGAATCGTAGTCTGTGGATCATGCTGACTTTGAATGACTTGTAATGGTGGCTGCTAAGCATATCCTGTACCGTAGCTATGTCAATTTGTGAATCCTCCTCAAAAACCCCGTCTGCCCTTGAACCTGGGGAGGAAAAAAGCACTTTAACACATAAAGATACATGAGGCTTGGCAAATGGTGTCTGCTTAAAATGCTTTGGGATAAATTAAAATAATATGGGCTATTTAATTTGGAGAAGAAAAGGCTGAGCAATGACTTAATAATGCCATTCCAGTAAACAGAGGATGGTAACATATTAATCATTCAACAATTAATTCCACAAACACAGCCTATTCTACACCAGGTCTCGTCTGGGCAGTAGGATAAGAGGAGGATAGAAAAATCCCTGCTTGCTCTCCGTGAGAGCTCAGTCTCCGTAAGACTTAAGTCAAGATCATAAGAGCATGGGTGGCCGAACCTCTTGCTTTTCTTCTAAATGTGATTTTCCTGATCAGAGAAGTAATTCATGTTCCTTGAAGAATCCCTATTCCTTCCAGGATTCCCCAACCGTCTGTTGAATGGTTTCCCGCCCTGCACTCCAGTCTCTGCTGGTTCAGGTGGAAGCCTGCTGGCGCTTGGATGTCTGTGACAGTCTCCTCACTGGCTGCCTGGCCGCCAGGCTCCCTCTGCACCACAAGACTTTTCAATTCATCTTTCCAAAGGTTTGATCATTCATTCACTCACCAAATGTTTACTGAGAGCCCTGTGCATGCTAAGTATTATGATATGTGACTCGGGAGACAAATAGGAAGACTGGTGCTCCAAAGCCTTCCCTGGCTTCCCAGAGCCTCCTGAACACAGCAGACTTTTTTTCAGCCAAGCAATCAAGGCAGCCCACAATCTGGCTGAAATGTACCTTCCCACCCTCTGTCACTCCTTACACATGCCTCCTCTCTTCCCTGGGGAGCTCTTCCCATGCTCCTCAGACTGCACACGGGTCCAGGGTTTTCTGCTTCTGGGCCTCTGCTCACGCAGTGCTCCCTCCACCCTCACCCAGAGTTGTCAAAATCTGCTCCCTCCCCCAGGCTAGCTCAAACTCCACCTTCTCCATGAATTCTTTTCTGATGGATCTCATTGGCAGTGAGTTCCACAATGGTTAGTGGATACTGGACCCTACAGCCAGGTAGATCTGGTCTCAATTCACAGCTCTGCCTCCAATTTGCTGTGTGACTTCGAACAAGTGACGTTACTTTTCTGAACTCCAGTTTTGAACTCCAGTTTCTGCCACTCACAGACTGTCACAATTCATTTAAAAAATCAAATAATATGCTTAAAATAATCATGGCTACTGTTTATTTATTCAATTCTCAGGATGATATTCAGCCTTGCAATAAAATTGTTTAGTGGTTGCTTTGTCCTAATATGGAGGCTCGGTGAAGGTGAGTAAAGTATTTATTTATGTCTGTATTTTCTCCTGTAAGCAGTATAGGCAACTGGCATGCTCACTAAATCTTGTCAAGTAGAAAACAGCTGGTAGGGACAAGGACTTACTATGTGCCAAGCATGGTATTAAGCACATCATACATGTCACCACATTTAAGGCTCATGACAACTGATTTTCCATCCTATACAGATGATGAACCTAAGGCTTTTGGAGGCCAAGTCATATGGCCAAGGCTACACAACTTAAAGGCAAACTACCCCTTGGTCTCTAGAGTCTGGAATGTGGGCTTCTGAAGTTGTGGATGCTGCTGGTCTTCTAGGGCTGAGGGGAGTACCAGTCTAGCAGAGGTCAACCAGAGCAGGAGCCATACGCCTTGTGTAGGGGACCATAGGGAAACCCACATAGTAATGGCTTGGGACAGGGCTGGGGGAATGGAAAACTATAGGCTTGGGTATCAAACTGGAAAATTCTGTTACATAACTGGCAGTCTGACAGCTATATGCCTTTTTCCCCCCTAATCACTGTCTATAGGGCGAGCTTTTCAAGAAGCTGGTTTCTGATGCTGTCACACTGAACTCGGACACTGAAGTTATTCCCAAATTGGGCAGTTTCAGCACTCTCAGTAAGGCCTTCTAATTGGTAAGGATGTGGGATGCCTCCAACTGAGTTCCACCTCGGAGCATCTTGCACATGCTGTCCTCTCTGCCCAGCAAACCCTTCTCCCCATTTGTTCCCTCCTGCTATCTCCCTAGGCCTCCTGAAGAGCTTAGATCAAGTGGTGCTCCAGGGAAATGCTCCCTGAGCCCAGTCCCCCATGTTAGCTTGGCTCTTTATGCCACTGTGCCGCGTGTTTTCATAAGTAGTTTATTGCCTGCCACTAGACTGTAGACCCCAGAGAGCAGGCCCAGACCCTGCCAGTGCTACAGTACTGAGGAGGAAGCAAGAGCTCAATGAAAATTTACTGAATGAATGTGAACAGGTGCCATGTCCACAGGAAGGCAATGGTCAGAGAGGCTGCATGACTGAACCAACATCACACTGCTCGGACACATCTGCAGGGGCCACTGCATGACCCATTTCCTTTCTTTGCAACACCTATGAATTTGGACAGCTGTGTCACAATCACAGTCGCTATTGTCTCTTGAGCAGTGTTCACATCTGACCTGAGAGGCTGGCTAGAAGTTTAGAGTTTAAAATAATCATTCACTTTTTCCAATCTATATTTTTACTGACACTTAACTGCCAAAATGAGTTTATTTTTATTTTAGAACATTTTTATACATGAGAATTATAGGGAATAAAATATTAAAATTCTTTAATGTTTAAAAAGTTGGTTAAAGCCTTCTTTTCTGAGAAAATGCATTAGATATAACTTAGTTCTTAATTCCAGAACTTCTATTTTCTTTACTAATTAATATTTTTTAAATATTGCAGGTATTTGATTTGGAAAGAGGTAACAGCTCATTATGCTAAAATGCCAATTACTAAAAGAAAAAAAATCCACACATAAGATTTTTACATTTTATGATGTTGGATTAAAACCAATTTAAAAATTACTATAACGTGACATATAATTTTTTACCGAGCAATCTCAATGCCAGCTGCTAATAAAGCATCTTAGCTGTAAATGATAATTCAGATGCTTTTAGATAAAGTGGTGCATAAATATGGCTGGAAATTGATTTAGCTTCTTACAGAAGCTACTGAAGAATGACATATTTTGTTTAATACACCAGCTAATGTAGTCCTAAAAGCTCAAACAAGTGCCAGTTTTCACTCCTAAATTTGCTGTGGGAGATTAATGAAAACTTTATATTTTGCTGAAATGTTAATAATGGGCAGATGAGATGATAGGATTTTAGTAGAGGTCTTAAAGCTACGGAATAACCAGCAAGGCTTGTCAATTTCCTTATATTAATTTTGTTCAAGCCTTCTAGAGCTGGAGCCGCTCAGCACACTAATGCTCTGTGCATTGACCTTCTACTCTCTGCCAGTGTAAATTCATATCCCATTTGAGGACTTAAGTCACCCTGATACTCGAGTGAGTTCTAAGCCTTGCTCCCGCTGACAAGGGATGTGTTTGCTTTTATGATCAGAAGGGCGACAGCACCTGGAGAGTGGGGAAGGAACAGTCCTGCACTCGTCTCCAGTTCATGCTGCTTGCTCCAAAGCAGGTTAACTGCTGCACAGGAACAAACGCTGGACTTGGGAGCTCCGGTGCCATTTCTCAAATTAGACCCAGGAGTGCCTCTGCTTGGAGGGGCATGTCTGTGTGTGCATGTGACGTCCCCACAGCCAGCAGTATGCAAGGCTGTGGGAAGGCGAGGGGGGGGGGGCGGAGGGGCACGGGGTTGTGGGGGGGCAGTGTGGTGGTGGTGGTGAGGTGTGGCTGCAGGCGACTACAGAGCACAGAAACAGGCAGAGAGAAAAGCCCAAAGAGACATGCCACGGACACTTTATCTAAAGACCAACATTTGAAGAAAGCATTATATCAAAAGTTATGTTTTCAGACCAGAAATGTTCTATGCCTTGATGTAAATGCCTTTAGTGTTTGTATTCTTCTGGAAAAGGGTGAACCCAACCACACACCAAAGATGCTTGGGACTACACCACTGGCATATTAAAATCATTATTGTACTATAAACTTCACATTAAAAAACTCGCTTGTGTTTGAGAGAAGCCATTTTTATCATCTTAGAAGTGAAAAGTAGGGTGTGCCAGAATGTCTTAAAAATAAACATACCAAAAAAAAACCCCACTCCCTAAACCATTAATTTAATTGAAATATAACCTTTTGTATTTTGTTAAATTAGCAATTAAAAAGGTCACAAGCAATTAAATGAAACAAAAGCCACACTGTGTTCATCTACATTAATGCTGAACTGAGTCTCTCCCTGAATGACAAGATAAATTGTAATGGTGCCTTCAAAGACTTCACGATGTATTTTGTCAAAGTCGGGAGTGTTAATGTCTCTATGTGCCATGGATTACCATAATGTATCGTGTCAAAACGCTCGAGCTGCAATAACTCATAGATATATTGTGATAGATCAAATTTTGGGGTGGGGCCTATTACTGATGGGGACCAAAGCTCAAATGAACTGACAGGCTCTGGAAACAAGACAAGGGTTCTTCACAGTGTGGAAAGGTGAGAGGTAGCAGCAGGCAGAGGATCCAGAGAAGTGGTTTAATCCTGTGGAGTGAGAAACAGGAAAGAGGAATGAAGGAATGAAGTCAGGTCCTTGTCCTAGGTGAAGAATGGTCAAATAAGGATGGGGCAGGAAGGGATAAAGGGAAGCAGAGAGGAGGAGAGGAAGGACGAACGAAGGTGACTCTGGGGCCTGCAGCAAAGAAAGAGGAATGCTGTGAGACAGCAGGGAAGTGGCCTGGGCTCAATTATATTAGATGGGACATGAATATAGAGTTCAGCAATGTTGATTCAAACCCTGACTCTAGGGTCAAACTCTTTCCCAAGAGCCAACTTGCAGAGCTGGGACAGACTACCAGACTCTAGAGTCTGCCCTCCAGTGCTCCTTTCCCTTCCTTTGAGTGGTGCTGAAGGCCGCTCCTGCCCCACCCACCTCACCATGCTCCTATGAGCAGGATAAGGAGACTAATGACTTAAGTAAGGGTAAATTCTAAGTTGGGTATTCTCAAAGTGCAGTCAGGGACCCATTATGGGACATATCCCCAAACCCCT